GGGGGCCGGGGCGGCGGGCGGCAGGCCCGTGTCGGTGGCCGGGAGTCCCCTGAGCCCCGGGCCGGTGCGAACGCCCCTGAGCCGCTCACACACCCTAAGCGGCGGCGGCGGCGGCTGCGGCGGCCGCGCGGGCAAGGTGGCGCTGGCGCCGGCAGGGGGCGCCCTGCAACACAGCCGCTCCATGTCCATGCCCGTGGCGCACTCGCCCCCAGCAGCCACCAGCCCTAGCAGCCTGTCGTCCAGCAGCGGGCACGGCTCCGGCTCCTACCCGCCGCCTCCGGGCCCGCACCCGCACCTGCAGCACCCCCTGCACCAGCCCGCGAGCCAGCGGCCCTCCAGCGGCAGCGCCTCGGCCTCGGGGTCCCCCAGCGACCCCGGCTTCATGTCTCTGGACGAGTACGGCTCCAGCCCTGGGGACCTGAGAGCCTTCTGCAGCCACCGGAGCAACACGCCCGAGTCCATTGCCGAGACGCCCCCGGCCCGGGACGGCAGCGGGGGCGAGCTGTACGGGTACATGACCATGGACCGGCCCCTGAGCCACTGTGGCCGCCCCTACCGCAGAGTCTCCGGGGACGGGGCCCAGGACGTGGACAGAGGCCTGAGGAAGCGGACGTACTCCCTGACCACACCTGCCCGGCAGCGGCCCGTGCCCCAGCCCTCCTCTGCGTCCCTGGACGAATACACCCTGATGCGGGTCTCCTTCTCTGGCAGCTCCGGCCGCCTCTGCCCGTCCTGCCCCGCCTCGTCTCCCAAAGCGGCCTACCACCCCTACCCCGAGGACTACGGGGACGTCGAGATCGGCTCCCACAGGAGCTCCAGCAGTAATCTGGGTGCGGACGACGGCTACATGCCCATGACCCCCGGCGCGGCCCTCACGGGCGGTGGCAGTGGCAGCTGTAGGAGTGACGACTACATGCCTATGAGCCCCACCAGCGTGTCCGCCCCAAAGCAGATCCTGCAGCCTCGGGCTGCCGCTGCGGCCTTGCCCCCCGCGGGAGCGCCGGTGTCCACGCCCGCGGCCGGCAGGGCCTTCCCGGCCAGCGGGGGCAGCTACAAGGCGAGCTCCCCGGCGGAGAGCTCCCCCGAGGACAGCGGGTACATGCGTATGTGGTGTGGCTCCAAGCTGTCCATGGAGAACGCAGACAGCAAGCTGCTGCCCAACGGGGACTACCTCAACATGTCCCCCAGCGACGCGGGCGCCTCGGGGACCCCTCCCGACTTCTTCTCGGCCGCCTTGCATGGCAGCGGGGAGACGCTCAGGGGAGTGCCCGGCTATTGCCACAGCTCCCTGCCCCGCTCCTACAAGGCTCCCTACACCTGCAACGGGGACAACAACGACCAGTATGTGCTCATGAGCTCTCCCGTGGGGCGCATCCTGGAAGAGGAGAGGCTGGAGCCGCCGGCCAGCCCGGGGACCGCGCCATCCAGCGGCTGCGGCGGTGGCGACCACGCCCAGCCTCCTCACCCAGCAGTGCCTTCGCCTGGCAGGCCAGGTGGCAGCGTTGGCGGCCGCCCAGAGGGCTTCCTGAACCAGCGCTGCCGGGCCGTGCGGCCCACGCGCCTGTCCCTGGAGGGGCTTCAGACCCTGCCCAGCATGCACGAGTACCCGCTGCCGCCCGAGCCCAAGAGCCCCGGCGAGTACATCAACATTGACTTCGGCGACGCGGGAGCTCGCCTGTCGCCTCCCGCGCCCCCGCTGCTGGCCTCGGCCGCCTCGTCGTCCTCGCTGCTGTCCGCCAGCAGCCCGGCCTCCTCCCTGGGCTCGGGCACCCCGGGCACTAGCGGCGACAGCCGACAGCGCTCCCCGCTGTCCGACTACATGAACCTCGACTTCAGCTCGCCCAAGTCACCCAAGCCGGGCCCCCAGGGCGGGGACCCCGTGGGCTCGCTGGACGCCCTCCTGTCCCCCGAGGCCTCCTCCCCCTACCCGCCGCTGCCCCCGCGCCCTGTGGCGCCTGCCTCCGCCCTGCAGCCACAGCCGCTGCCGCCGCCCCCTCCAGGCGAGCTGTACCGCCTGCCCCCCGCCCCCGCCGCCCAGGGCCCCAGCGCTGCCTCCTCCTCGTCCTCGGAGACTGGGGACAATGGTGACTACACCGAGATGGCCTTCGGCGTGGCTGCCACCCCGCCGCAACCCATCGCCGCCCCCCCGAAGCCGGAAGGTGCCCGCGTGACCAGCCCCACGTCCGGCGTCAAGAGGCTGAGTCTCAGGGATCAAGTGTCGGGAGTGGAGGCCTTCCTGCAGGCCAGCCAGCCCCCGGACCCGCACCGGGGGGCCAAGGTCATCCGCGCAGACCCGCAGGGGGGCCGCCGCCGCCACAGCTCCGAGACCTTCTCCTCGACCACCACTGTGACCCCCGTGTCCCCGTCCTTCGCCCACAACCCGAAGCGCCACAACTCGGCCTCCGTGGAAAACGTCTCTCTCAGGAAAAGCAGCGAAGGGGCCGGCGGCGGCGGCCTGGCTGGGGGCGACGAGCGCCCCACGTCCCCCCGCCAGCTGCAGCCACCGCCCCCCCAGCAGGCGCGGCCGTGGCTACCGAGTCAGCCGGGGGGCTTGGTCGGGTGCCCCGGGGGCAGCGGCTCTCCGATGCGCAGGGAGACCTCTGCCGGCTTCCAGAACGGCCTCAACTACATCGCCATCGACGTGAGGGACGAACCTGGGCTGTCGCCCGGCCCGCAGCAGCTTCCGCATCCGCAGCCGGGAGACAAGAGCGCCTGGGGCCGGACCCGTAGCCTGGGGGGTCTCCTCAGCGCGGTGGGGGGCAGCAGCACCGGTGGGGTGTGCGGGGGGCCCGGCCCTGGCGCCCTGCCCTCCGCCAACACCTATGCCAGCATTGACTTCCTGTCGCATCACCTGAAGGAGGCCACCATTGTGAAAGGTGAGGCCCTTGGAATCTTGCGGAGGGTCGGCGGGAGGCAGGGTGGGATGGCCGGGGAGAGGGCCGCTCTGGCTTCACCACCATCCGCTCCTTTGGTACCTGGACACAAGCGCCAAAATACTGGACGAGCCGCCTTGTTTTGCTTTCCTCTTGGCTCCCCCGGCTTCCTTCTTCGCCAAACAGCCGCAGAGGCCCAGTGGTCTTTGAGTTGAATGTGCAGCTTCGCACCCAGGAGGCTGGGATTCGTTGTTTGGGCCCCGCCCCCTTGTTCTTTTCCCACCGCCTCTCTCCTCCTCCTTCACAGGGCAGGG